AAATCAAGGACCGACTTTATTCCCTGTCTGGCAAAAAAAAGTTGAATTTTTGATCTTTTTCGTCGCACTGTGATGACGTCACATACGCGCTTTCGTCGACCGCGCTTTTGTCTACCGCGGTTTTGTGGTGGAACCAGGAGAAGAGGCAGCCATCAAAGAGATGGAGAATTAAAATGAAACAGACACCATGTCGAAGTTTCCAGATTCTGTCCAATCCAAAATTCAACTTTTTTTTGCCAGACAGGGAATAAAGTCGGTCCTTGATTTAAATCTTGCTAAATGCCAGGCTACCGGCTAACTGTTCTTCACAGCCAGAGGTGTTTCCACCCCCCCCTCACACCCCAAGAGCAAATTCTGCTTGAAGGACTCCTCCTTTTTCAGCAAGTGTCGTTTTTAAGACCAGCAGAGGAAGGGAGAAAACTAAAAATACCTACCTGAAACCAGAAGAAAATTACCTGAAAGTGGACACCCCCCCCAAATAACCATCAGCCCTCTGCCCAAATGCATTTCCCGGAAGAGGACATGCCAAAAATGGTGCCAGTAGAAGTCCCCATCCCCACCCCCAGGCCCCTGGTCCTAAAGCCTGGGGGGTCTTTCTTAAGGGGGGGAGTCACCTGCCTCTTTCTTGATTTCCCACCTGCAGGAAAAGATCGAGAGGGGGGGGGGCAATCACTGGCCAGGAAGCAAATAGGTGAAGGGGGTCGTGTGGCTTTTAGTGGGTGGGCGTGGCTAGGTTTTTACAGTTGGCATCCCTTGACTGATGTCACAGCTGGCTTTCCTAAAACAATAATAATAATATTCCCGGCCTTTTGGATTTACCCCTCTGGGTTAAAACAGGATGCAAAAGTTAAAGATGGTCCTTTGGGCATTTTTTTTGCAAAACTGGGCAGTTTCTCTGGAAGCCCCTTCTGCTCTGTCTGACTCTCTGCCCCTCCCCGCGCGCCCACCTGCCTCAGGGCTTGCTCTTCAGGTGGATGCAGGATTGATTGCCCACAGCTTTGGATCCAGTTTCAGCTTCTTGACTTGATGCAATATCTAAAAATTATCTCTTCTGTGCACAGGGAAGAACATTTGGTCAGATGCTGCTGCGGCCGCCGGGACTAATGGTCTCTATCGGTCTCTCTCTCTCTCTCTCTCTCTCTCTCTGTCTCTCTTTGTCTCTCTCCGTCTCTCTGTCTCTGTCTCTGTCTCTCTCTCTCTCTCTCTTTGTCTCTCTCCGCCTCTCTGTCTCTCTGTCTCTCTCTCTCTGTCTCTCTCTGTCTCTCTCTGTCTCNCCCCCCCCCCCCAGCCAGCAATTCCCAAGTTGCACAGGGATGCTTGGCTCTCCTCCCGCCCCTGCCAGGCTGCCTGATGCGCGCCAAGGTATAAAGCAGAACAGCCAACATGGGCACAATATTAAATCGTGAATAATATGGCTGTCAAAATAAAACGGGCACCTAAAATTATATTTTTCTGAACGAGAGCAGCTCCTGAGGGATTCCAAGTGGAGGAGAGCCCCCCCCCTCACCTGCACAGCACCCCCCGTCCAGAAGGCAAGGGGTGGTTCTAATGCTTGCCTGGCTCCTGCAGGCAGTGTACCTGCTCCTAGCATTTCATACCCCACTTTCCCCCCCTGCACAGACTCTCTCCTCCTCCTTCCCCCAGTATTTCCCCCCCATCCCTTAAAAGTAAGCCAAGCATGTGCCCCAGAAGGAGAAGACAGAGGAAGCAGAGATCACAGGTGCCCCCTGTAGGTCTGGGATACTTTACGACGTTAGATCTTCTCCTCCTACACCAGCAGCTCACGATGGGCTCATTGAATGCGTCTTGCCGCCTGGGATCAAGGCCATTCACAGCAATGCCTTCTCTCAGAGTGGATTTTGCACGGAGCAGGGAGTTGGCTAGAGGACCTCTAATGTTCCCTGAACATTGGAGCGTCTCTGATCAGATGGGGTGATGCAGCGGGGGATTTCAGCTCCCTAGAGCCAGCCCGATATCTGGGTGGGCCAGCCAAGGGCTCTTCTGCAGAGCCAATGCCTGTCTGCCTGCCTGCCTGCCTGCCTGCCTGCCTGCCTGCCTGCCTGCCTGCCTGCCTGCCTGCCTGCCTGCCTGCCTGCCTGCCTGCCTGCCTGCTCAGCTGAGTGAACAGGGCTGCAATGGGCTCAGATTGAAAGAGAAGTCCTTGCGTGTAGGCTGCAGGCAGAATTTTTTTGGGGGGGAGGCGGTAGGGGATGAGGTGAACATGCCCCCCCCTCTCCAAGTGCTCCCTCTGGCTTCATCATGCTGCAGCTTTTCTACTTCGTTGTAAACACCTCCATTTGAATTGTTTCCCGGGGTTTCAGTTTAATTGTTCTTCATTTATTCTGCACCTGGCTGTCTGCTCCCATTCTGGGGACCTGCTTCCACCCCAATTAAAGTCACGAGAAACCCCCGTCTGCAAATATCGGAAGGCTCGTTCGCCTTCCCGAAGTGGCTTTCTCGGCTAACGCGGGCGGGGAGCTTCCATCTGAGGACCACACGCGGGCCTCTAGGGGGAGAGTTGGGGGGCTGGTGAGGGACAGCAGCATGAAGCCCAAAGGGCTCCTGGCTGGGGAGTCTTCCGTCTGATTGGCCAAAAGCGCCCCCCCCACCTCCCCAGCTTCCCTGCTGCAGAATAAGAAGCTTCAGCTCCATTTCCCCTTTCAGTGGCTCTGAGCGTCCTTGAGTGGCAGGTGGCCAGGTGTGCAAGTCCCCCAAATTTCCCACTGGGCCCGCCTGGGAAGTTTGGTTGCCCAGTCGGAAAGACTCAGTCCCCTGTTGATGTGGCTCCAGCCGCCTGCCGTTCTCTTGCCTGGCCAAAGATCCGCTGGAAATCTCAGAAATCCCCAAGGCTCCCCAGGATCTCGGTGGAAGTGCCTGGCCCCGCAGAGCCTTCCAGGCGGCGGCTGGACCTGGCAGTTTTACCTTCAGGCCTCTTTCTGCCCTAAAAAGGCCTGGGAAGCCAGGCTCCTTTGGCCACTGTGTCTCTGGACAGTGAGAGGAGGTGACCAGAGGAAGACAGGTGAGGTCATGATGGCACTCCGCTGCCCAGGTCAGGGGTGGGCTCAGCAGCCCCAGTTCTCTGCAGGCTGAAAGATGCCTCCATCCCTTCCCCCAACACTTAGGAGAAAGCTCTGGATTGGCATCAACCCAGCCTCATTCCTCCTCCTCCCTGAAACACTTTGAGGGTGTCCTTTCTTGGCCTCTGTCAAAACAGCCTCGGAGAAGCAGCTCCAAGCCCCCCTTCCATCTCTGTCCCTGTGGCACCCACGCCTCCTCTCTCCCCCCCTGCTGGTACCAGCCAGAGCTCCTCCGGACTCAACACAACCCTATGTGTGTGTATGTGGGAGGGGGGGTAGAAGAGTGTTGAGCTCAAGCCTTGGGGAGGCTCATCCTGCTTGTCTTCTTGTGTCCATTGTTCTGCCCTGGACACAAGGGTGGGGATTGTGTTCACACAAGAACCTCTTTCTGTCATCTTTGCCACCAACCAACCCCTGCCTTCCCCCCCCACCCCGCNGCTGGCTGAGGAACTCTGGGAGTTGAAGTCCACAGGTCTTAAAGTTGCCAAGGTTGGAGACCACTGCTCTATAGAGAGCTTCCCACTCCCCCTTCCATTGAGCCCCCTTTGCAAAGCCCCTTTCATGTCACTATTGGGCGGTGTGGGCAGAGGGAGCCTCGTGCCAGGGATGCCAGGTGGCCGCAGAATGTGCCCTTCTCACGCCCAGCCTCTGAGCTGCAGCTGTGCAGACCGGGCTCTTTTCAAGGGTGGACTGGCACAGCTGCCTCACCCAGCACCCGTTGCCTCAAAAGCTGCCGGTAGTGTAGACGTGCCCAGGACTGAAGCGGTGCCTATGTGCCACTCTGGCATGGCTGGGGTTAGCCGACGGGCGATGGTAGCCAGCCAGATGAGGGAACGGGCTTTGTTCGCAGATGCTGGACTGGTAAGCCAGAGTGGGCATCAAAGCCACTGCCGGAGGTCTCTGTGGCTGCTAGGGTCCACCTGGCAAGGCGCCGCTCTATAGGGCATCAGGCAGCTTTGCCTTGCAGGGGGTGTGAGGCAGGCAGAGTCCTGGGACCGAAAGCTAATATCTTCCAGGGATCTCCTGTCTGTAAAACGGGGTGGGGGCTCCCCTCTTTCAGGGTAGGCCTTTGGACCAAGTGCTTTGCCAGGCCTGACTCCTGGGGTGGATGGGCGGGAGTGGGACCCCTGCCCTTCTTCCCCCCTCCTGAACCCAACCCTTCCTTCGTAGGATCCACGATTTCCAATACGCCATTTACGGAATCGCTGGTTTCTTCTTCCTCTTCGGAGCCCTCCTCCTGGCCGAAGGCTTTTACACCACCGGCGCTGTCAGGCAGATCTTTGGCGACTACAAGACCACCATCTGTGGCAAGGGCCTCGGCGCTACGGTAACAGGGGGCCACAAGGGGAGGGGTTCCAGAGGACACCGTCAAGCTCACTCTTGGGAGCTGGTGTGTCACTGTTTGGGCAAATGGCTGGGACATCCCGACAAGGTGATCTATCTGCAGTTTGCGTCTTCTGGGGCGGGTTGGCTGGTGTGGGCGTGGGCAGAGAGGCATGAGACTGCAGCCCTGGTCAGCCCCGTGGCTGGTCCTGAAAAGGCTCCAGGCACAGGCCGGGCAGCTGCACTGGAAGAGACACTGGTGGCATCTTAGAGAGAAAACCGCACAGGATGGCACTTTCCCCCCCACCCTACCCACCCCTCCTTGCAGCCAGGGGGATGCCGCCACCCCTCCTAGCACCTCCCCAACTGTCTCATTGACTTCAGCCTTTTCCCACACTAACCGGCTGCCCCAACTTACGGGCATCCCCTGCAGGGCTCCCCTCTTCATCTTGTGCTCTCCTTTTTGCAAGGAAGACCTGGCGGATTGAGCCTCCACTGCCTGGCGATACCCACCCCACCCCACCCGTTTCCCCGTCCCTCTGCAACCCAAGGCTGACTGTCGGGCACGGGGCCCTTGCCACGAGGCACTGCAGCTGGGGTGTCTCATCCTGGCATACATGTTGCTGAAAAGGGGAGGGTGGAGATACCAAGCTTTGCCTGAGCGATGGGTACTTCTGAGCGATATTTGACCCACCAGCTGAAGTGTCTGTGGTGCTGGGCAGCTCTGCCCCGCGGGCACCCTGCATTTCCTTCCTCAAGGGACCCCAAGCAAACTCCTTTCAAGGGGGAGTGGCCAAGGACAGCCACAGGGGGACCGGGAGGTAGAGGGCCTGGGCTGGGGTAGGAGGGATGCTATGGACGAGTAGAGGGCCATTGGCCAAACCAATGAGGGAGCTGGGGTGGATCCGTAGCACAAGCATTGCCCAGAAATGCTCAGTTGCACCGGAAGAGCCCAACAGACAAGGAAAGTGCTGTTTTCTTTCAAGATCACTGACTTCTGCACCTCTTGGGCAAATGCTCACCTGCAGGCACACTCAGTACGCCTTCTGGCACGCAGCTAAATGTCACATGTGCCTTACACGCCCCCCCCCCCCGCACAGACCCTCTCACCACTGCAGCCTGGAAGCCCGCACGGTAGCGCATGGGAAGGCTGGCTCCCTTGGATTCCTGATATACATGTGTGCATACTGCGTGTGCCTTTCTGTTTGAGCATCTGTCCCAGCCCGAAAGTGTGGTTGGCACCTGTGGTGGTGGTGGGGGGGCTCTCAGCGCAATCAAGCACGAGCTCAGGCCGCCGCGGCTGGGAACTCTAGCCAACAGTGGCATGTTCGAACAGTTTGGCCAGGACAGGGGGGGGGGCGCACTTTGCAAGGCAGAGAGCAGATTTCTTCCTTTCAAAAAGTCTGCAGAGATGCCCGCAGTGTCTGGAGGTCGAAGGTGAAGGGCGAAAGGTTGCGAACCACAGCCGGGTTCGGTGTAGAGCAGCCTATAGAGAAGGAAATGCAGGTGTCAGAGATGAGGGAAGGGAGATTTACTAGCATTCCCTGTTTTTAAAACTGCACCCCTAAGGGAGCATCTCTGCACCTAAAACACATCACTTTCTAAATTGCACAAGGTTAGCTCATCAATCAGGTTCTTTTTTAAAAAAAATATTTTAAAGATTTTTATTAACAAACATGTAAAATACACACACACAAAAATTAGACGTACATCACATTTATACAATATGAACAGGAACTTCCGGTTCTTTATAATATCAATCATCAATCGATACCACTCACCTTATATTATTTCCCCTTCTATTGTATTTCATTTGGGTTTCACCATTAACCCTCTTATTTTACTCATAACTATTATTTTTTGGAGTTTTGTTATATTCCTTCATTGATTTTTG